AATGTTACAGTGCAAAAAAAGCTGCAGAAACTATCAATACAATAAATATAAAGCTTCTGAACTTCAATGAACTTATAATTCTATTACTAACTTAAAGATCTGATATAATTTAATAAGCGCATAATAACTTTCAGGCAAATTTTGCATGATGAGAATAATAAAGTTAAAAAATTAAAGTATCAAGTGAAATATCAACAAAAATGAAGGAAAAAAGCAAAACTCCTGCAAGAACATCAGGAGATAATAAAATATGATTCACCTAATTGTCTATTTTTTTTAGTTTAATATCCTAATTTATATAAGCATATACATGAAAGTATCAAATTCAGAGCTGCAGATAAAAAGAGAAGGAAAGAGATCATTAAAGTTAGAACCATTCGATATCTTTGGGAGGAACTTAATTCAAAATATAATGAGTAACTTTCTTGTATCACCCTTAATAATTATTTGTTATCATCTCAATCAAATATTATAGCAGCAAAGACCCATCATCACCTAGCCATTATTGCAAATGCATCTGTTTCACAAAATGAAAAAAATGAGTATGTTGATGAATATTATTATCTTACATCTGTAAAAGAAGCAAAACAATTCGCAGCTTTATTTTTAACCCATTCTATTATCATTTTGCAAGACGATAAAGCCAAGATTCTTCTTAGTATTCTTGCAGTCAGAAAAACCTTTTAAACTATACAATGTTTCTAAGAGTCAGTTATTCTATCCGATCATGATTTTTTGATCAGTATATAGTAAAACTTATTCTATCAGTTTACTTATTTATTAATTTGAGCAATACGAATGACACTCTCTATAATGATCAACTTTTGATCTTTGTACGCTTACAATATCAGATTGATACAAGTTTAGCCACTTATATGAGTGACTTAAATTCGCTAACTCAAGACAGTCATTTTGATGGAATATTAAAAACCAGTGATCAAGTTAAACCTATTTGGATTCTATTAGTCAATGGTGATCCTGATAAAAATTCTCACTATATGAAAAGCATTCTTCAATATTGTAGAATATTTTGTACCTTTAATCTCAATTACCTTTCTATTCAAATGCACATACTGGGTCAATCAGCATATAATCTTGATGAGCGTAGTATGACAATACTTTCTCAAAAACTAGTTGAAATAATGTTGCCAATCAGTAAATATGGTTTCCATCTCAATTCTCAAGATCAGGTAGTTAATTCGGAGCTTGCAATAAAGAATTTTCATTATACTAGTAAAGCTTTATGCTCTCTTTAGAAATGCAATTCTATTTATAGGAAATTAATCACTGTACAATACATCGATTAAAAAGACTTTCCTTTTGATAATATCATATTTTTTCAATCTGAAAAAAAATAACAGTGAATCAGCAATACCTTAACAATGGTTAAAAAGTCATACCAAAATATGTTAATACTCACTTGATATTAAGAAATGCAGAAATTCTTCTTGTTACTCGCTTAAACGTTATAAAGAAGCAGCCATTCTTCTTGTGAAAAATGACAGATTTTTCTTATCTGTGATTAAAGGAAAAGATGGATATTTCCTGAATCTGTTACATATACTAGAATATTGTGATAAGCTCAAAATACTTGGATATGATATTCACTGTCCTTCTATTAGTTCAAGCACTTATAATCATCTCTATTATTCTGACTGCAATATATACTTTCTAACTCTTTCTCTCGTTGTCCTACATAAGAAAAGCTAACATCTGAGAAAATGAGAACAACCTTTTAAGCAAAAAAAGTCACTTACCAATTCCTTAGATGATTTTTCTATTGTGCCTGCACGAGACAAACAAATTTCAATTTTAAATGACTGAAAAGTATATTCAAAAGGTGAGTAAGGTGATTAAGAAAATAAAAAGATTATTTCAAAGGATAGGCAGAGTTTAAAATAATGCAAAAGATAGGCAGATTTTAAAATTTAGGCGAAATTTTAATAAAATCAAACTAAAATTTTGATATAAAAATGGTAGTAATATAAAATTTAAATGCTAAGTCACAATAAGATTTACTTATTTATTCTGATTGGCTAATTATATAATCACGTGAAAGGTAAGACATTTAACACACACCCCTCTTCTTTTTGATAATTATATAATATGTGTCACTCCTCTAACTAACTTATAATTCACTAAAGACTAACTTAGACTGCCTAACTGATAAGAATACATGAAATTCCCATTCTATTTATATAAAACTTTAAATCTAATTCTATTACTAAATTAAGATAGAATACAATTTAATAAACTACAGAAACCTTATAAACATTGTTAACTTAATTAATAAGTTAAACTAAGTAAACTATATTAATTATGTAAACATATTTAAATTCGTTAATAACATTTTTTTTTATATTTTAACGATGTGGTACTGCCACAAGTTTATTTAATAGATTCATAATGTTAAATGCACTAATCTATGTAAAACAAAGCAAAAGATACAAATAAGAAAATCTAAACTAAACTGTAGCTACCCCCTGTGACTCTATTTTAAGCCCGTTTGAGTTGACCAATCACTGGATTTTCCTTTCAAAAAGTTCACTAAAACCACTTTTAATGAACAACTTATTAGCGAGATAAGCAAATGAAGTTGTTAGCAACATAACGCTTTTCCTTAAACTAACCACTAATCCCCTAACTAAAAAAAATTAACACCCTCCAGAACACACGAATCCGAAATTAGCTTCTGAAAAAAGAAAGGTTAAAAAAGATAACCAACTCCAACAAATTCCTAGCTAAAATGCCTGGTTAATTCCAAGTTACAACGACCTCTCACAACAGGAGCGTCCAAAACACTAAGTTCCGTCAGAGGCTCTTCAGATATCTCAAACTTCTATGTTGATATGTCTGTCAATTCAGATTACAGCCGCCGGCAAAAGCACAGAGCCCAAAACACATAGTTGCGAGAACTGGAAAATTCCGCTAAGATCGGCAGACTCTATGACATCAGAAGATCTTCAAAAGAATGTTGTTGTTTATGAAAGTAATTGGATAGTCATCACGTGAGATTTGTTTACGTCCAAAGATATGTCGATCCTAATTGTCATTTCAGATACCCCTTGATGCCCACTTTTTGTAAGCAAAAAAGAAAAGGAAAACAAGCGAAAAAAATATTCAAGAGAAGTGACGAAAAAAATATTTTAACAAAAAAACACTACCGTTTGGACTAACAACGAAATATTTTTTGGTTGAGGGTATGGGGAATAAAGAAAGAAATATTTTTGAAAAGGGGAGTTGTTGTTTTTATTCACAGGTTAAGCTGTGGCTACCCTTGAACGAACACATTTTTTATGTAAAAATTCTTGGATAAAATCTAACAGGAGAGAAAGAATTTCATTAACAAATTTGTTAATAACATTATTATCAGTCTTGTCATTATGATAGTTTTCATCATTTTCATTATTTTCATAATTCTAGCCGATCAATTGCTAATTCATGTTAAGGAATTATGACTCTATTTGGTAATAATCTACAGAATTATACTTGATCATTTTTCTTGAAATTTCTTGAAATTTCTTGAAATATTTCTTCATCTATTGTTCCAATCAGGTAGGTAACTCTCACTTGTAATTATCATACCAGAAATAAGAGCAAAAAACTATATTCAAAACAACTCATAACCTTACAATAAAAAAAAATGAACAATACAAAGAAATAATAGTGAACAGTCTGCAATTTCTATCCTAGAGTTAAACAAATAAACTTTATTAGAAACTCCCTTGACAAATAATAAAAAACAAAAAATCACTACAGAAAATATGGAAATCTTTTTTCCAAAAATTATTAACAAAGTTATAGAGAATATTATTCTTATTACTGATAACAATAACCAAATACCTTTTAATAATACTAACGAAATTATAACTAAAACTACAGATATAGAAATAGATAACAATATTCCTTTAACTTCTGATACTACAGAACCAGTTTAATCCATCGCTTTTTAAATAATCAAAGACTCTATACATGCAAAACAAACAAATAATACTGACAAATCAAAATTAATAAGCATTCCTTTTATCTTTAAAGGGAAAATTAAACAAATTTGATCAGACAAAATGGATAAAGCTGAAGCTTTAACTTTCAACAAGAATATGAATGATTGATAATTTAATATAATTACTACACTAACTTGATTTTACGTTACTGACAACGCAGCAGACATAAAAAAAATCTATAGCTAAAAAATACAATTTTATCAATGCACTATTTATTCATTTTAATAGCTTCTAAGGCTTCAACTATCTTTCCAAAAATAGAAAATTCATCATTTACTTTAATAGTTTAGAATACCTCATACATACTATTACAAAAATGCAGAAAACACAACATAATCCAATCTTTTTGATTGCAGATTCTAATGCTAAATAACTAAAATTAGATGCAATGAAAGATCATATTATTAAAGTATCAGACATTCCTTTTTTTTAAATCTAAAGTAATACAAAATTTTTTTGCCAAATTTGAAATGATTACCTATTTTTTCTTAATCGTCAAAAGATCCTGGCAGATCACTTTCATTGTTTATGAAAGCAATAATACTATCAAATAATTTTATGATGATAAGAGTTGAATTAACTGATCTTGATCCTATACAAATTACATTAAGACAACAATTTGAGCTCAAACTTACTGGCCTACCGCTCAATACTAATCAACACTCCCTATATGATTTTTTGACACAAATTAAAGCTAAATCATGCTTCATTTCAAGAGATTAACAATATTGATTAAGATCTTATGCATTTGTTAATTTTGCTACTATTGAAGATTTAGATGCTGCAACTGCTCAACACTATAAATTCAAAGGAAATGTATTATATTGTATGGGTCTTGCAGATAAATATTGTAAAAAATATGGATTTTCAAATCATAAAGTTAAGGATTGTTCTAAAAAAATTTTCACTAATCCATATAAACCCTTATACGAACGATTCAAACCTAAACAGTATAGACTATCACGTTCTTAAATGTTAATTAATAATCATAATAATATGACATATATTGAAACTGCTTATATTAAACTATCAATCAATAATAAATTACCTTCTAATAATATTCAAAATAGATCTGCATTATTTCCTGATACAAGCGAAACTATTTCCACATTAAATAAAAAAGTCAAAGAATTTGAAAATAAATTCAAAGTACTTTCTGATCTATTCAATAATATTAAAGAAGAAGTTATAATTCAAAAAAGTAATTAAGGTGACATCAATTACCATCTCTCGAGACTTGAATTTTTTACAAGAATATCAGATAATAATGATAATGAAACAGTTTTCACTGAATAACAAAATGTCAAAGAATTTCTGAATCAATAACCCATATCTTCAACCTAAAATCTTCCTATTTCAAACACAACGTCTATGGATATAGATAACAATATCAAAATTCTAACACAATCAAATGACAGTAATATTCTCTCAGTTCATATATGATCAAATATAGGAATTAATGCTCACCTTTGATTTACAACTTCAATCAGTCACCTCTGCGATTACTCAAATTATACCTATGACTAATCTTCATAAATGATAAATCAAAGTAAAAAATATAATATTGTAGAAATAACGTCATCATGTCCTACTAATAATAATAATTATAATTCAAACTTATCTATATCAATATTTAATCATAACTCAAAAATTTTTTCTATCATCACACATAATATTAGAAACTGTTTCTTTAATACTAAATTACAATAAATAGAATCATTTTCATCAACTTATAATTTGATATTATGGACCTCAGTGAGATACACTTTACATTTAATCAAGTCAGATATCTTAATAATAATAATCATAATAAACCTTATAAATTTTTTTTTCATAATGAAAATAGAGAACACAATTATCAAAGAGTTAGTCTTATAATCTGAAACAATTTATGCAAGCATATTTTCAATCAATAGGATTTTTTTGATCAAATTATATATGTAGATCTCTAATATAAAAAGAAAGTTAAATTATGTATTATTCAAGTTTTACCTTCCTGCTACCTACAGAGACAAATATTCATTTAGACACAGAATACAAATATAAAAGAAACTCATAGATATTTTAATTCATAGCAATAGAAATAATTTCTATGTTATTCTAATGGATAATTTCAATATCAATATCTCACAAAATTATCATTCTAAATGTCAAAAAATTTTACAAAACTTTCTTCATCAAATTATTGACTTAGAATTTATTCATACCATTACCTCCTTTCTCTCAACTTATCCTGCTATCTTCAGATTAGCCTCAAACTTAAGCTATTCTCATTTAGATTACATTTTTATTTCTACAAACTTAGTACATGAATTTACCTCATTCAACATTCTCAATGACTTATCCTTTCTATATATCACAGACCACCTGCTTCTATCTATTACCCTATTCAAAAATAATCTTTTTACACATTCTTCTAATGCTTTTTTAAAATAGCATAAAGTCACAAAACAACATTTTTCTATAACAAAATAACCTGCTTACATTGGGACTTATTCTCAGACAAGGCTGACTTATTATTTAAACAGAATACCTCATATGCTAATAGAATAGCACGAGATTTTGGTCATTCACGTAATATTATTAACACTATCTAAGAATTTTTCATGACTACTATTATAATCTCAGCAAAGAACATCTTCTTAAGCAAACTTCTACTAATTAACATAAAACACTATATTTCTACTCAAACTCCACTATTCACCATCATATTAACTTTTACACAAATATTACTACAAACTAAAAAAATTACACTTTTACCAAATATCAATTCGCACAATTTTTCACTTTCTAATCCTAAACACTAGAATTTGATAAAGATTACAATGCATTACAGTATATTTATTGCATCTATTGATACTCATTATAATAATTTTATGTTCTACCCTATATGGCAGAACTTAAATTTGACATTATCAAACCCATTTAAGCAAAGCAAAAAATTGTTTTTAGATCTGAAAATAATGAATGAATTCTCTAATTTTTAAAATAACGTAATGATAATTTTAAAGAAGCCCCTACAAAATGATTGATTCTTGCTTAAAATGAAATAGGAAAGCAATAATTACTGACCACTTTCTAATCAACAAGAACTCTTCTAATCAATATTTAAAACTTTCACCAGACAGCATCAAATAACAAATAGCTCATCATTTTCAAAATATAGCAGGATCTACTAATTGTGATATTACAAACCCTGTCTTTAATGATTTCAAGCTTATATAGAATAATTGGAAATCCTTTTATGACACTGTCTCCTATATCGATAATAACATCTACTCACATATATTGGATATCCTTTCAGTTGATGCTTAACATATAATAATCAAAAGTCTCCCTGATCACAAAGCTATAGGCCTATCCAGATCTCAAATAAATGCTTAAAAAGTTAGAATCCAAAATGAAGAATTTTCTTTACAATATTATTTATGCATGCTTCATTAATAATTTTACTCCTGCACAATAGAATTTGATGTATATTTATCCTATTCTTAAACTAAAGCCATAGAATTGTGACTTAGATAATACTAGACCTATTACCTCTTAGATACTATCAAAAAAGCTTTTGTTAAAATTCTTAATCAACGATTCTAAAACATATTGATAAAATACAATGTTATCAAAGATCTCAACTTTGCCAGTCTTCCCTACCAATCGACCTTAGAATCACTTTACATTGTTAACAACCTATTTGAATATCACTATTTATGAAAAAAGACACACTAATAAGATCATTCAAACTTATATGTCTTATTTCAAGATATGCCTAAAGCCTACAACTGGGTAAACATTTATATGCTTAAAAAGGCTATAGAAAGACTGCAGATCCTTGATCCTTTTATTCAAATTATTACTAATCTGTTTCTAAACAAATATAACTCAGTCTTCACAGCATATGGTAATATAAACCCTTATAATATAGTAGTTGGCATTGATCAAGGGGAAGTTATATTCCCTTTCTTGTGAGTAATCTATTATGACCTACTTTTATCCAAAATTCAACAAACAAACTACAGTTACAATATATCTGTTATTTGAAACCTGATATAACTAAAAATATCATTAAAAACCTTTCATTTACTATTCCTAACTCAGCATTTATAGATGACACAATCTGAATTTCTAATAACATTAAAAACTTATTCTCGATTTTTGACATCGCTCAGTTCTTTTTGATCTCAATCCTATGAAAATTAATCATGATAAATCTTTCATTCTAACCTCTGAATCAACCAGATCAAATATTTTCATTTTTAGCAACTATCTGAAAAAGCATGCTTTTCTGACTTTGAAACCATCAAAATCAACCTATTATCTTAGAGTCTGAATTTCAGCTTTTTACAACAAAAACTTTATCAAATAACAAATTACCAATGAGATTTCTGATTTCATGCTCAAACTTAAATACAAACGTTTAACTGACAAATAACTCAAGTATATATACAACATAGTTTTGATCTCATGTTTAGAATACAGAACCAGACTTATAGTGCTCTCTTATAATAAATGCAACACCCTCTTTTCTAAAGTTAGGATATTCATTAAACACAAACTGAGATTTCTAAAATCTTCACCAAACAGCATCCTGACAAGTAGCTTGTTCTATGGCTTTAATAATCTTTTTGATATAATAATCCAATCTAAATTACAATATTTTGCTATAATAATCAATAGAAATCTAAAATAATCATTGCTTTCTCTTACTTCCATGATCAGATTAAAATAACTTCAGGAATTTTATTGGCTATTTGATGATCCCTTAGTATGTTGGCCTGCTTCACTTAACAATATTAGACATAATAATTTCATTGAAAATGTAATTTTATTATATTTGAAATAATCCTTTTCATTCTATAGACTCTCTTATACAATTGAAGATTTCAAAATACAAGGAGAAGACATGTCTTTATTATCACTATTACCTTAAAGGAAAAACTGGACCAAATCATTTAAAAACAAACAGCTTCTTTTTCTAGAACAACTAATCTGTGACGGTATGTTCTTATTAGAATTTAATAACTTGTTTCTCAAGCAAACTATGAGCAACCACCTTAGTCAAACTCATTCTAGATGGTTTACATTACTTAAAAATATAGTTCTCATCAACTCAATACATTCTAATAGGCTTAAAAATCAATATTGCATTTAAAATTTTTCATCTGCTGGATACAAATCAACTTCTTCACATGATATGAATACTTTAGTTGATTGGGTTGCCCTGTGGATCCCTGATAAAAACTATTACAATTTACCATATCCTAAATAATCTATCTTTGAGAAATCTTACAAAGTTAAAAAACTTTAAGACAAAATTATTTTTCAACATTTTTCACAAATAAACCATTCTAACGATCCTAGATCTCCTTCAAAAAAGAATAATACATTTATAGAATATAATGAATGCTCTTTCAATATTAGCTTCATAGATATATTCAAATATACTGGTTATTCTATCAAATATGATAGTATTGTGAATATTGACTTATTTCAGATCATTAGTATAACTTACTTCTTCTCAGTCAACTCTGAAAGACTGTATCTTTTAAAAAAGAATATTAAAACTATTTTATATCAGGTTATCTAATACTATATAAGAGTGCGTTCTCCTCTAACTAGCTTCAATAATTTATAGTTAACTAGTTCTTCCTATTTCACTATAAAATCCTTTATTAATTTTCCTGCCATGGTTTTCTTGTTAAATTCATTTAAAAATAGATTGAAACATGAAAAGTCTCTATTATTTTATACAGATAGTTTATATAGATTTTTGTCAGACCACACTGATCCTATAACATACATTAGTTCTGCTTTGCTCTTAGTTTATGATAATATAGATATAGAATTCTTTATAGTTTTCCTTCCATTTTAATCCAATTTAACTAACACAGAAATTTTTGCTTTATTACTAGTTCTTATTATTTATCTGCATAATTTAAATTTAAATGTTTGTACAGATAGTTTAGCTCTTATTTACTCTTATAATAAAATTCAATAACAAAATGCCTTTTTATATCCTTTAATGATGTTCAAGCTTTCTTTAACACTTACTAGTCTATTATTTTTAAAATTATTGAAGATAGGAATATTTCACTTACCCTTATTAAAATGAAAGTGCATTCTAATAATCCATATAATAATAAAATTGATTAACTCTTAAAATCCTCATTACACTCTTCTACTATTTCAATTACATTCAATCACATCTCATATTTTAGATACATCACCCTTTTTGAACAAATGCCTATTTTTACTACTTTACGACCTTTAATTAAAGATTTCTTATAAATAAAATACTTTATAGCTATTAATCATTCAAATAGAATAAAAAATATACTATCTTAGAAATTAATTATAAACTCACTTTTCAACTCCTCAAACTAGGTTTTCTTTTCACTACTTTCTTTAGAGAATTACGTGCACATTGTAGAAAAATCAAAATTTTACTTAAACAACTTCTAACCATTGAATTTCTTAAAGCCACACAGCCTTCTTTTTACAACAATTCTTGGAATTGCTATCACTATAATATATCTTATGAAA